AGCTATGACAGATCAGTAAGCTCAGCCTGTTCTGCCTTTTCTCTTAGTCATTCAGATGTGTTACTTGCCAGTAGCCACATCATGCACTACTCCTGGGAAGAAAAAAGAATAGCCAAGAAACCAAACAAGACAGCAAACACTCCAAGGATTTATCTAATGCCTTAGGGAAAAACCATGTTTCTTAATGTGTTAATCCAGCGTCTGATAGATTTCTGAGTTCTAACTTCATCTAGCATCACAGAAAGCATTTTTTCCTGCTTTGCAAATCACAGGAAACACATGAATATTTGACATCACCTTAATAAAAGGCTTATTAGTCTCCTGGAAAACCTCCTGAAGGCAATCAAGACAGTGTTTTCTAGCAGTAGAACTGGTGGTGTACAACAGATGAATCGTAAGACTAAGAATATCCAAACAATCCCTTTTTAAGAGTGGGCACTTGCAGCACTAGTCAGAAAAGAAGGAGTCATTGCAGAGCCTTTCTGAAAACTTGCACTGAAAGCACTAAGATAGAGAAGGCTCTTCAGGAAACAAATTCACTGAAGCTTCCTCACCAACCACAATGCAGTTCAACTCCCTAATCTTCAAACTCCAAGCTTCTTATGCATAAAAAGCTTTTTGTATAGTTGAGAAAAAGGACTACCCACTTCTCTCCCCTAAAGTGCCTTTTGAATTAGCTGTTTCTGCTAGAACTGGATCAAATTTCAGAGATCATGGGTCAATCTGAAAGGACAAGTACTAACACAGCTTTTTTGGTAAATGATTAAGAAACTAAACTGAGGGCACAATGCATGAGAACATAAATCGGCCCAAATGCATCCCAGACTAGTCACGTTTGCTTAACACCAGGCTACAGCAGTAGCCAATACCCAGTGTTTCAGAAAACCACATATGCTTCCCAGAGCAGTAACAATCAGCATTTCCAGAGCATTCTTCATTAGCAGATCTCCTACCACTATATATCAGGACAATAGCATTGTTATTTCAGGGCTGTGAAAACAAAGAGGAGTCAATGTTTAAGCTGAGTACTTCATGTAGGAGGAGGATGTGAGCTCTCTCTGCCCCTTCTTAACCCTCTCAGCAACACTCTGCAGCACAGTGACAGACTTAAAAAATGGGTCAAGGAGGAGTGGCAAAAGCTAATAAACTTCTCTGCGCTAGTAAACTCTTCTCTGTGCTGAAGAAGGGCAAGCTCAGGGAAGGGGAAGTGGTGAAGCAGGAGAACAAAACACTCGCTGGGGCAAGTGGTCCTGGGTCTACCTCCATAAGGAAAAAGGAACTCGCTCCTTTTACTTGGCAAATCACCAGGGTGTTCAGACATGCTGAAAGCCCCCCAACAGGAAATGTTTCAGAGCTTCCTTTAAAACTGATGGGCAGTTGCAGGGACTAAGTCAAGCATTATTCAGAAAGGCTCTTGGAGAGATGAGGCTTTAGATTTTCCTTCGGAGAATGTGCCTTACAGCCAGAAGGACAAGATGTCCTCTACTCCCCAGAGACAAAAAGCTGACCTTGCTGAGCTTCTAGGTCTCTATTCAAGTGAACTGACAGCCTCAAACAGTTCACTTGTGCCATCTGCTGGCCGCAACCGCAGGCGAGACCGAGCCAGACGAGCTGTGCAGGGCCAGCTGTGTCATCTTTTACTTGCAACAGCGATAGGCAATAATGTTCTGACGTCCTGTTGCATGCCATGGTACACCCTGGCACAAAAGGTATGCCATGCCCTGCAGGAAACAGTGGCTTAAGGAATATCCTTGAAGCTGAGGAAAGGTTTTCCTCACTATGATTTAAATGTTATTTGCTAGCTCAGCGATGAAATGAATGCATTCAACTGAACACCTAAGAAATCAGTGTAATTCTGCCTTATAAACCTTCACAGCTTACATACAAAACCTTAAGGGAGTGACAGAATGCATAGCAAACCATCAGTACCCACTACAACATGAAGAATACATGTTCTCTAACCTGAAACAGGGTCATTTTCCAAAGACATTCGGCTGAAGGCAGGTGTGGCATTGGAGATATCAGACAGTGTGCGACGAGCAATGGCAACTGGTAGTGGTGGTTTGGGGATATCATAGCCATCCTCTTCATTTTCTGACTCTTCAGGGCCATTGCTGGCAGTGGGTGCTGCCAGATCCCCTTCATCTAGAATAAGAGGCACATTCTGATGAGCTCTGGGACTGAACAGAGCCTCTGTCTCTCAAGGCAGACTGATCCCCTGTAGTCCACAAACATTGACAGGACACAGAACAAAGGTTTTGCTGCCAAAACTCCACATTCAATGGAAGCTCTTTCCAGAAGATAGTATTAGATTAAAAATTCTTATGATAAATGTGGGCTGACAACTGCTGCCCATGAAAAAAAAATAATCTTCAAAACAGCAATTTTTTTAACAACTGTTGAGTATTTTTACAATGCATTCCAACTAGGCTTCTCAGCAACATCCCCACATGCTATGCAGCCTGCAATACAGCGACCCAGATGTTTCTCCATACCTCCTAGCTATTTTAACAGCAAAAGCACATAACATTTAATTTAGCCTGAAATGCCTTTCCAACTGGGAGTGGGACCAAGCCATTGTACTCCACTTTCTCAGGGTTTTTTTTTAGCACACCCACTCACCAGAAGCGTTGACAGCCTCGAAAGCTGAGGATGCTGCTTGGGAGTGAATGTTGTACATTGCTTCATACATACAGCCATCCGTCTGCTGGTCGCAGTCTAAAACTCTGAGGGAGAGAACAAGTATTTCCCTTAGACAAGTGGCAGCAGTAAACCACCAACACATAGTCTCTGTGACTCTTTGTTCCAGAAAATGCTCTAGTAATGACCACTGCAATACAGCGTATCAGGTTAAAAGAGATAATACCACCAGAACACCACCTTTTAATAGGATTTTGAACTTCAGTTGTTGCTGCTCTCAAAAGGTTACCAGCAGAAAGACAGGGGAGGGGTTATCTGACTCCTTTAATACTGTATAAGGATTCTGCTAAAGAGTAGAATGTAGTTAGCTATGTTAGTCTAGATCTGGTGAGTATCACTGGGGGAATTCAGCAAACCCAGCAAGCAAAATCTCCACCCTAGTAAATACATAAACAAAAGCTTTCCCAAAGCTGTGAAGAGAAAGCACAGAACATACAAACAGAATCTCACCGTAAACTCTGAGTCATTTCCAAAGGCATTTTCATCTCTGGTTTTTGTACAGCAGGACCTGGAGGCACTACAGGCAGAGAGGATGGTGACATGTATTCAGTGTCTTCATCACTTTCAGACTGTTCCCCAGGAGGCAGTTTTGGTACAGGCAGTGGTCTGGAGGCAGAAGAAACAAGATATAAACATCAGAAATATATTTACACTAAACCTAATTATTACCAAAGTCGCCTTTAAAATCCACAGTGGAAGGAGCAGCAGTCATAGTGATTCTGTCCACAGAAATAATCTGGCCTTCAGTACTCTTAGCAGCCCAGATACATGGTCACACTGACACAAGCGCATAATGCAAAGGAAAGTTGACAGTATCATACCCATTATACATCACCTATTTCACATAATGACCAACTCAAAAGTGAATTCATACAAGAGCTAATAGCAACTGTAGCCTGTTTCCTATTGCCACAGCCAAGGGTAACCACCACCACTATCCACAGATCTTTGGCATTCTGATTTAATCTACTTCCTCTAGATTCTGCATTTTGAATCTGTCAGAGGTTGAAATTAAGGCTGACAGAGTTGTGTCAAATTCTGTCCCTGGCACCAGCATGGTGAGAGCCCTACAATTACCTTTCTCTAAGTTATAAAAGAGCAGTTTTGCTAGAAAACAACAGACCTGGCAGCTAAGGAGTAGATCGCATTGGCAGATGAGGAGGGTTTAATTTTGGGGTGTTCACACTCTGAGGTTGTTGGTGGACCACTGTTCAAGCTCTGAAAGAAAAAATTCCAAACCAGGAATCAGAAACACCACATATACCAACAATGTAGTTGCAAAGCTGTCAGCCAGTCACTCAAAACATCCTGTGTGGGAATGAAGCATCTTCATTTATGCCAAAGCATTTACTAATGCCTTAGAAACCTAGGAGTTGTGTGACAGTTTTCCCTCAGTGAGGGTACAAGATGGGTTTTTCCCCTGTATCCAACTGCTTGTTCACACAAAAACTGCAGGAACTTCCCAGCTTTTGAGATTCCAATGGCTTTGGCAAATTCAGCTGAAATAGGCTAGAAGGCCAAACGGGGGACAAGAGGAAAAGGATGCAGACAAGCACACACATACCAAGACAGAATGACAAATGTCCAAGTGTTATTTTCTTAGACAATCTGGCTAAAAATGTACTGCCTTTCAATTGTAGAAAGTTGGAGGTTTTAAAAGGAAAAATTCGGGGAATGGAATGAAAAAAAAAAAAAGGCAAATCTGCCTTGGATTTCTTTTAGAGAACAATATGTTGGACTATTAAGCTACACATTATGACACTGGTAATAGTAACAGATCCAAATTTAACTCAGATTTTACTGTGTTAAACTAAACACAGCTACTGTGTGTCAGTTTTTCAGGACTGAAAACTGAGAAGAGGAAACTACACTTTTCAGCATACCAGCTCCCAACACAGAAGATTCTCAGTTTTCCAAAATTGAAAGGTGAACTATGATCATGAAATTGTGGCTCAAGACTGTTCAAACTGGGGTTCCAGCCTAGCTCCCAGGAGGCACAAAAGCACTTCCCTATTCTCCCTTGCCCAGAATTCACCAGTTCCTTTCCATCTCTCCCTTGGCACAAGATCACCCTATTCAGATGAACATGCTATTCATTATGAGAAGAGGACACCTTGGAAGACTTAATTCCTCACAGATTACCTTCACCTCTAATAGGCCTACTCACCACTGGGTTGTCCAGGCTGAGCGTGCTCCCAAGCCGATGGCTGTCAGCCCTGGATTCCATCTGAGAGGGCAAGGAAAAGGGAAGGGAGTGCCTGTTTGACAGTTCTCTCCCAGCCCAAGGGTCACCAGGACCGAGAGCTACAGATGGGGCTTTTGGAATGGGCCTGGATGGCCACAGATCTGCCTGGCGGTTGGAGGGCACAGGGGGTGGTTTGTCTCTCGAAGGACAGTCTCCTGGCGTGCAGGGCAGGGGACGTCTCTGAGGTCGACCTTCAGTCCCAATGGAATGTGGCCTGTCCGGAGGCGGTGGCGGCGGGAGATCTCTGAGCGTGGGAGGGATTGGCAAAGGTTTATCCTTGTGAAGCATACCAGGAGCAGCCTGCAAGGCAGAAGAATGTAAAGTATTGCTTAACAAAGGTAGTTTAGCCACAAAACATAAAAAAGAGGGAGGCGGGTGGCAGAAAGGTGAGTTCTGGCTTTCGTTTTATCTATTTTTACAAGAAATTATCTCAAAGGGCATGGAGATAACTCTCCACATCTCCATGAGTTAACCCTCCAGAGATGCCTTCTCTACAGGCTCGAAGAGATAACACAGTAACTACGTGCAGCTACAGCAAGGCACTAAATACCCCAGATTATTTTTCTTGAAGGAAAAAAAACCCTTACATCAGCACTAAATTGGATTCCAAACAAAGGTTACCCATCGCTTACAAAAACGATTCAATTGTGGGTTATTTATACAAGTTAACATTCATCAGTCAGCCATGAATAGTCATAGAAATGGATATTTTCTTCTGCCTGAATCTTCAAGCATAATTTCATGACTTCATCCAAACCAGCTGAAGAACCGTTGCTGTATCATAAGGCCAGTGACCAGATGCCACCAAGATCACACTGCTGCCTTCTGATAGTCAATCAGAAAACCAGTCAATCTCTCCCAGTCACGCACATTTCATTCCTTCCTTTGTTTTCTATCTGAAAAAATGCTAAATGGAAAAAATAGTGAAGAAATATTGGGCCAGGAGTATGACACCTTCCCTGCTAGCTAGAACAGAACACAAGCCCACAAATGCAGCTCCAAAGAGCACAGGCTGAAAACCAGTGAAGGTATTGGTAATAACAGTAACTTAGTAGTCCAACAGGAGGACACCAGCCACCCTAAAAGAGCAAGTATTTTACCTTAGGACCAGCTTCCTTCTAGCAATTGCATGGGCAAATATGAAGACAAGACAGGCCCTTTAAGCAGCAAAAAGGGACTCTCCCACCAGAAGGAAGCATTTGCTTTCAGGACAGACTGGACTCTCATGGGGAATGGAAGGAACATGGCCTATCAGGACAACAAAAAGCGAGAAGAAAAAGTCTTGTGTGAAAGTACTTGGGGATGTCACAGAGAATGAGCAGGATTCACCACAATGCTCTCCTTCCTGCCTGCCCCACCAAAATCACAGCTGAAAGGGAAAACAGTGTGTTTGACCTTTGAAGTGGTCCCAGGACTGGAAGCCCCAGGTGGATTGGACACTCGCTGCTGCAAAAGATCCAGTCGTGGTGGCACGGGAGGAAGGGTGGCCTGTGGAGCTACTGAGAACGGAGAAGGAGGACGCTCGACCTGAAAAAGAAAAGAATGGGAAAATCAACAAATAATAAAACCCAGCAGAATTCCTTTCTTCTAGAGAGTCTTTTAAGCTCTGTGATTTGTACTGGCTTCAATAGCGCTATTGAATTAACAATAATTACTGTATTAGTAACCGCCACACGCCAGTAAATGAAGGCAATTTCCCAGCACAGCAGCATCTGACTTTCAGCAAGCCTTGAAGATCACAAATGGCTTTAGCTGTGACACACAACTAAAAATACACACTTAGAAGTGGCACAATAAAAGAAAAGATGTTCTGCTGGAGTAATAAACCTGCCTTACTGGGCCCGGAGCAGCAGCAAGCTTCTTTCCAACACAAGAGGGCATGATCTGCTGCAAAACTCACTGTAGGCACCACTGTGCTAACTGCCTTGACTACGGTGTCATAGCCGTTGCAGCAGTCACTAGTGTGCACTAAACCCTCCATTTTTGTCCCTGGAAAGTTGGTTTTCCACCTAGCAAATCAGAACAGTGCCTATGCTTCTCTTTTTCATAAAGTTTATTTTACAAGCAAGGCTAGTGCTTTCTAACTTTGAAAAGCTTTATACAGGTTTGAACTCATTAATGCCAACAGCATACTAGCCTACCACAAACCATGACAGGATGTCACACTGAGGAAATTGCTCTTCTTTCTCAAGTTATGGATACAAAAAACTACCTCCAGGCATAGGTTTTACTGTTTAGTACGCTATTTCACATGATGGAAGCTAAAGAGAAATATGACCACAGGCAAACCAGCGTAGAGGATTCTTTCTGACCAGGAAAGGCATCTTATTTTAGTGAATTCAACTACTGAAAATTAGCCAAAATCAAACCCACGTTCCTATGCAATAAAACAATGCAAAGTGCAGATGTGCAAGAGCAGCAACAAGCTTTTAGAAATAAACCATGCAGGGATCCCTAAAGAATGCCTGTCTTGTGCCCATCTCCTGGAAGCATGCAGCACTAATGGCAGAGAGTGATCACACCTTTATTATACAAATGTATCAGACACCAGATAAAAAATGACAGTCAAAATGACTTGCTGAGCAATATAGCCTGCCCTCTACCCCATTAGTCATGAGGACCTTGGTAAGACTCTATCTGGTTGGCTGTATTAATCACTGGGGAAAATGGATGAATTTTTGCTGATATGAGTGAATTATGGCCAATAAATCAAAAAAAGCATTGCTAAGCATACAGAGAAGTGTTATAAACCTAGATCTTAACATTCCAATAGGTCAAACCAGCCTTTTTATCCTCCTGAGGATTCTTTCAAGACAACCCACAAAAGATCAAAGATTTCCAAGTGTGATCACCAATCGCTTAATAGAACTGACATTGTGAACTGAACCAACAAAAGTGATCCTAAATCCACGTTTTCCATACTGGGTAAAATCTTTTCTGTTATAAGGTCTGACAACCCTCACATGCACAAATCAGGAAGATCACAGAAAACTGATGGAGAACATGCAGTCTTTGTACATCCTGCCACATCTGCTAGCACATGCTCTAGTGACCTTACTTTGGTACCAGCGAGTTCTTTCATCATGAAGAGGGAATCATCAGCTCTGTCGTCGTCATCATCATCATAATTGGGCGAGGGAGTTCCTTCTGCCCCTTGTCGTGATAATCCTCCTCCTCCTCTGGGGTCAAACGGGTCTACTACAATTGGCTCCGTGCCTTTGATTTCACAGCGGCAAAAAGGACAACCCTGGCCTTCTGATTCCTTTATGGAAGAGAAGAGATGTTACCTACCACTCCTGTAAAAGAGCAACTAGCTTCACTCACAGAGATGCCCTCTCCGGAAGCTATCGGGAGAACTGG